AGGAATTTACTGTTCATTGAGAGCCAGCTATATTCATTTTTTTGGTGGTGTTTTGACCTTTGACCGAATTGTGTTGTCTTTTTTACTTTGTTTAAACCGACTTATCGAAATCCCCTATATATATATATATATATATATATATATATATATATATATATATATATATATATATATATATATATATATATATATATATATATATATATATATATATATATATATATATATATATATATATATATATATATATATATATATATATATATATATATATATATATATATATATATATATATATATATATATAATAGAATGATGAACGTGTTAACACTAGACAAGAACGAACGATGTCTTGGGTATATATTGAGCTAGGCTAAAGAAAGCAGCCGTCTTTCTAAAGGGGTTTTAGTGGAGTGTGTAGTACATAGACCGTTCACCGTGAACAATCTGCCCCAGTAGACTGGATTTAACGGCACGGTTATTTCATACGTGACACATCAAAGGCCTACCAGAAGAAAAAAATGTAGTCTTACATTAGGAAAATATGTTTTTGTCCCGATGAATAGATGTAGAGTTAACAAGCACGCCAGAGGTCACGAGGGTATATAATGTTATCAAACATATACTTACATTTTAAACTAATGACCGCGGTTTTATTGAAAAGGGACGCGACGTGGTATGCTCTCCCTTTATATTCTCTCCCCTTGTTAATTATATTTTCCTTGTATCGCTATTTTATGAGTCTTGTGCTCAAAACATTAAATTTACGTGATTTCAAAAGAAAACTTTCAGACTTTTCAGATCAGTTTTTTAAAGATTTATAATGAAATCACGAGCGTAAACCTTGTCTATATTCAATAATTGGCGCGAGTGTTCACTCATCAAAGCCTACAACATGTTGTGACTTGTGATCTACTTCAGGTGTTTTAGACAAGTCTGGCACTGACAAATAGCACAACACCTGACATCACGTGGTGACCTGTGCTCTACTTCAGGTGTTTTAGACAAGTCTGGCACTGACAAATAGCACAACACCTGACATCACGTGGTGACCTGTGCTCTACTTCAGGTGTTTTAGACAAGTCTGGCTCAGACACATGGCACAACACCTGACATCACGTGGTGACCTGTGCTCTACTTCAGGTGTTTTAGACAAGTCTGCCACAGACAAATGGCACAATATCTGACATTCAAACAAAACGACAACGAAGATTATGTTGCCCAGTTCATTTTTTTTTAAATTTCTTTATAACAAAAATATTTTTTCACTTTTAATATTTTCAGAGGTGAAGGGGTATCATGTGGTACGTAAAAAGATGAATAATTTTCTAAAAGGTATTAGGCTAATCAATTAATCAATAAAATGTTTTGATGCTGTAACGCCATAAGAATGTTGGCAATGAACAAACATACAGTGGATACAAATATCGTATAAAAAGAAAATTTCCTGCAATGTATTGTGCTAATTTTGCTAATCCTATTAATACCTAATAAGGGCCTAAAGCAGTAACAGCATAAGAACCGTTGCCTAACACCAACAAAAATACCAGTGGATACACATATCAGCCCGCAGAGCCGTTAACTATAAACAACCGATCATCGATCGTCAATACGACAGAAATACCTCCACCAATCAGCTCAAACATGCCCAACACCGTACCCCATGACAAAAGATCCCTTACCCACGCCAAGAATTCTGGGAATGCGCAATCAATAACTGATACATTTATCACCGCCACGATAAAACCAGTCAGTCCTCGGCACTAGTCAGTCAATTTTGGGACGGGGAGGGTGGGGAGGTGATAATGAATCGCGGGCGGTGGAAGAAAGTTAACTATCCAAACATTTATAAGGCTGCCAGTCACATTCTTCAATATACAATATCGGAGGTTCTCAAATGAAACTTCACAGCTGATGCTGTCGAAATTTGTTTTAACAAAACGCTGGCATCATTTTCTAGATTCACTTTGATTGCATTGGTAAATGGCTGGCTAGTTTTTTTTTAAATTAGTGTGATAAAAACATTCTTAAAGACGTAATCATTACACAGACCTCATTTAAATATCAGTTAATTGTACAGGAGTTGAGTTGTTCGGCAGTTCTAACGTTTTTGTTAATAAAGGGATATATATATATATATATATATATATATATATATATATTATGTGCGTGGGTGTGTTTGGAACTAAATAAATGCTTCAACAGAGGTACTAGTATATACAAGTTTGTCAACAGAACGATGTGACTGCCGAACAACTTAACGGCTGTACAACTGACTGACATTTCTCCCAGAAAGATGAAGTGGATACTGTAGAGTTTGACTACGTATCACAGACAAACGGTGTCACATCATATGACATGACTTTATATATCGAAATATGTTGTTCTCATCATTACGCGGACTGCGTGAGTTCAAAGACTTAGCGGTTTAGAATCTTAACCCCATCCGTCAATGCCTTGACGACACAAGAAATGTAATCAATCAGTCCAGTCCCATTAGTCGCTATCGACCACCGCACGTTATATAATTAGTAAAGTAATTGAACTGTATATGGTTTCACCAGGACTGACTGTGGTTATCGATTGGAACACGCACACGTACGTTCAGATTACAAAAACACCATGGCATGCAGTTTTTTTTTTAAAGTGTAAATGAGGTCAAACGCTAAGTATGGTGGGAGGGGGGGGGAGGGGGAAACTTTTGCGACTTTATCCTGCGAAAAGTTGGAGAAATAACATTTATTTATTTTTTTTATTTTTTTTATTTCCGCTAGAACCACGAAAATTGATGTGGAGGAAGGGTAGTGTGTCATGGTATAAGGAGTTAGGCCGTCGGGTCATTTGTAGTAAAATATTCGCTGATCAAATCGTAGGATGGCCGAGTCGGTCTTGTTTCAATGACGCTGCACATTCTAAAAGTTTGTCATCAACATGTATGAGATCCACACATACAGGGATCATGGGACTATACAGTAGACTGGAACTAACTACCGCCATGCAGTGTTGGATAAACTGAGAATATGGGATCTTCTACATAGAGGAAAACGTGATATATAGGGGCAATAGCTCTACTCGGGAGCAACTAAAAAAACATGAGTTCCTTACATGTGTATGCTATCTTTTCTATACAAAACATGTGCATTATCATCTTTTTTTTAAATGAGCTAAGACATTGAATGTTAAAAAACACAGAAATATTTCAGCCACCAAGCAAATTTATTTGTATCTTCAACCAAGCAACCACAAAGGGAGATAAAGTAAAAGGTATCAGTTACGTCCCTGACATATAGCCTCCCCTGATTGTGTGTGTGGTGTGTTTGAACGCTTTATATATATAAAATTATATGATTAAACATTTTAAAGGTTAAAACCCATAGCAATGAGAAATGACTGGCATATTTTGTCTGGTCTAGCACTTGACGTTCTTCAGCCAAATCAATGACACAAATGGCAATGTGATAAATATAGAATAGGCTCAGTGCAGTCCCCTTAAATCATGTATTAACTGCTCAGTACTCACCCACCCCATGAATCATCACATGAACACACACACATACACACATGAACAAAATGTATACTGACACAGAGACATCAAGTGCATAGACTAGAGCACAATATGTATACACATAAATCATACACAACTTACAAACAGAACCACACTCAAAACAACATGGTCTAATACCCACACCATACACTGATCCAGTACAATCATACAAACATTCCATATACACAGTACACACAAATCAAACCCAGTACATACACATTCACACTATATACATCCCGCAGCAACACACACACCCAGCAGTAACATGCACACACCCAACAGTAACACACACACACATCACATGCATTCCAGAACACATGCATACTCATAACTAAGTTGCATAAACATGTGTGTTAGAGAGATGTCTAACATCTGTTGACTAATTCCATCATCTATTGATTCACACCAGTCACACAACCCTGCCTTGTTGATCTTATTACAGTATTAGTTTCTCTTTCCTCACAATGGCCTTGCTGGGGTTGGGTTAGGTGTGGTTGTCTCTGTATCATTGTTAGGGTTAAGTATCTTTGTTAATGTTACGTGTGATTGTATTGTTAGCATTAGGATAGGCATCAATGTTAGTATTTTGAAATGTTTATTGTTAACTTAAATATCATTATTAAGGTTAAGGAAGGCACTATTGTTTTGTTAGGCTTAGGGTAGGTATTACTGTTTGGTTTAGGAAAAGTTTAATATTAGGGTTAAGATAGACATAATTGTCAGAGTTCAGGTAAAGTATTGATATCAGCTAAATTGATTTTGTAATGCCCAATCAACCATCAAAGGAGTACATATTCCTGTATGTTGTATATCATCAAGAGGATCACACTTCAACTGTGCATGTTCAGTGAGCAAAGTAACTTAACATTGCCATCTACAAACATACACACAGTAGATTTGCAGGTGGGGGTTTTCAACATGTAATTTTAGCATGGAAATAAGTGCAAATGTGTTCATAAATATAATTTCAAGAAAAATAAAGGGAAACAATTCTTAATAAAGACATAGACAATAATTATTTCTGAAATAATTTAGCAATTTATAATTGAGTAAAGGGAATCATAGCAATTTTTTTTACACATATTGAGCAGAAAAAGACAGCATTTGACAATTCAAAATAAATGGAAGTGCTGAATGGAAAATGTGAGATGTGTGTGTTAATTATGATGTATCTGATTAGCTTTTTCCTTCTGGTTAGCTATTTCTTAGTTTATTTTCTACAATGAAAAATTAAAATTTGTTTCATGAAAAAATTTAATTACATGAAATAATATGTTTATAATTACTTAAAGAATTGGTTTTTTAAAATAAAAAAATAACTGTTGTAAGGATGTTGCGTTGGCTTAAATTGTACACAATAAATGCAATAATGCTTTCATATTGTATTGATGAGATTACTTCATGATGAATTACAAGGAGCAAAGAAGGATTTAAAAAAAAGATTAAAAAATCCTACCTTCGTTGACTAAAGAAGGCATGGACTGTGACAGCTTGGACATGGCCCTGAAGTTGCTCTCGGTGTTGTCGTAGTCGTCTCTCCTCCTGGCCTCAATCTGGCGCAGGAGGAGTTCCTTACTGAACACCTGCGGGCTCTCCTGGAGCTCTTCCTTGGACTTGCTCCTCCGCATGTTGAACGTTGCCGTGGAGACGACTCTGGCACTGGTGCCAGGTGTCTTGGAGGGGAGAGAATTGTTTGTGGCATTGCCGACCCCGACAGCTGTATTCGGCGTGAGATTGTGTCCCTTGGTTAACTGGTGAGGTAGATCTGAAGTGGGTTTGTTCTGAGAGTTGCTGGACTTTAGGTAAGAGGGTTTTGTACTGCTGGTGCTGTTTTGTGTGGGAGGGGTGGATGTAGGCCTCAGATTAGCCTTGGAGTCAATTTGTGGATTTGATCCGCCGCCTACTCTAGAGACGGAGGTGGAGTTTAAATAGGCAGTGGACGCAACTGTGGTCACAGCACTAGCAGGCCTGACGGCGGAGCTGTCTTTTTTTTTCATATAAGTCCCAACATTCAACTGCTTCCCGTTTGTGTCGCCCTGACCTGCTGAGCCAGGGACCATAACTTGGGAATTATCCTGGCTGCTTGAAATCTCAGCGTTTGTAGTTACCTCCCTTGCTGGCCTGTTTGTTTTCAGTCTAAGCCTGGCCAGTTCGAGCTCGCTAGGCCCACTGTTTTGGGGAGTGCTTTGCACCTTTCTGATAACCGGCTGCTGCTGAGCCATCCCGTTCACGACCGGAGTTTCTGTTTTCTCAGCGCTGGTCGTCACAGGTTGTCCCTTAGAGAGGAGTATAAGGCCAGATGAGTGTGGTTTACTGGGGCTGGTAATGGACACACTGCTGTAGGACCTTACTACACCTTTACCATCATACAGGTTGGACTGGCTGCCACCAAAGCGTGAACCAGAAGCTAAGGATGAGCTCACATTCAAGGCGTTGGTGCTGCCGAACGACTTGGCCAACAGCTTGACGCTCGGCAGACCACGGTACTGGCGGGGTTGTGGTTCCGGGTCAGCGGTTACCTGAGGTTTACTTACCCCCTGGTTGGCGCTGGTGGTTTGCAAGGGGTTGTTGGCATGCGTGGGGGGCTTTGTTTTTAAAAGGTGAGTGTCGTTGGTGTTAGCGTGCTGGGGGGTTAGTGCAGGGGAGGGGGTAACTACAGGAGTGCTTGCAGGGGTGGGGTTGGAGAGTTCATGCACGGGAGAGAAGCTGCTAGAGCTAAGTGTGACAGTAGTCGTTACTCTTTGCACCTGCGCAGGTTTGCGTTTGACGTAAAGCCCAGTGTGGGACGAGGAAATACCTGTTTGTCCATCACTCCTGGCTGGGTTGTCATTGGCAACAGAAGCTTCAGCATCTATCAAGTTGTTGGTCTCGTCTGCTCCTGATAGTCTTAAATTAACATTACTTTCTGGTTCCGGTCGGATGATTTCCTTCTTCTCACTCAAAGCCAGCGCCTTGATATTTGCAGTGTTTTGATTAGTCCATTTCTTATAATCGCCGGAAGGTTTCATGATAACCGGGGCTGGTAACTGATGAATGTCCTGCAACAACTGACCAGAGGCTTGAGCCTGGGATGTTTTCTTTGGGGATGGACTAGAATTCTCATCCGGCTGGTTAACACAGTGGAGAGAGTGGCTGCGCTGGATGTTGGTCTTTGAGGTGGTGATGTTAGGGTGGGGGCCTTTAGCTGAGTTTCTACGTTTAAGAGGTGAGGCTTCACCATTGTGGTTGGCGGTTTGCTGAAGCACACAATGATGAGGGAGAAAGGGGAAGGAATTGGGGGTGAAAGGGAGAAAATTAGTACAAAAATGTGACTTTTTTTTTACGACTAACAAAACAAGCAAACAATTCTATCTTATTTACTCAAATTTAACATATAGTTTTTAAGAAAAATATTTCTTTTATGATTGATTACAATTTAAAAGTTGTGTAACTCTTTTTATTTCAATTTATCTCAACAATTTATGCTTATTATTGATCACTTACTTATGATAAAAATAGTGATAAGTTAAGAGATCAAATTGCTTGCAATAGGTTAAGAAGGCCAACTATAAAATCATGCCACATAGAACAAAAAGCAGGAAGGAAAGCAAAACAATAACATAACAAGGGGAGAAAATCATGCATGGTTAAGGGATTCAAAGAAAAGACAACTTACTGAATCTAAACTTAAGATTCAATCAACTTTATTAAAATGGCCTTACAAAAAAAAAGCTTAATAAACTCTAATTTTTTTTAATGTGAATGTATAAAGTACATTATTTTTATAAATTTAACAAAACACACACTATTTTTTTAAAGAATCTTCTTAGTATTAGTAAAATAATGCAAAGTTTGTTGTAAAATAGAAAATTCATTATTGTTATTAAAAAAACATTTGATTAATTACTAAATTAGCAAACACACCTTTAAAAAATTCTGAAATGCTAAAACTTAAATAACTAAAATTTAAAACAAAAGAAACAAAAAAAATGCTGCCATAAAGTAAAGATTGTTATATCAAGAACTATCTTCATCAAAGTTTCAATTTTAAATCGCCAATTAATGAAACAAGATGACACAATTCATAACACTAACACCACACTAACTTGGCCACAGAAAGTTACAACTGGCAACATCAACCAAAACAATCTGGCACACCACACAACAGTATCAGATAACAAGAGACAAGACAAAACATCAAGGATCAGGTTACTGGCTTTATATAGGGAAAAATTGTACTAAGGTCTTACTCAGTGGTAGAAGAATTAACCCTATATAAACCTCAATCATGATGCAGTAAAGGACAGACTTAAAATCAAGAACAGGGTGATTTAGGTCTTACCTATGTAGTAGAAACTCAACAAAATTTACCTAGATTATACTGTAGTAAAGAACAGACTAGTGTTATTTGGAGACCAATAGGGCTTAATGACTATTAATTGATAGAAGTCAATTCAAATTAGCTTAAATAAAGCTACATTAATGGGCTGACTTAACGGTAGTGGTGACAATATATAAATAAAACTTCATGGGCTGATGTAAGTGTACTCTATGTGGGCTTAAGTCTTACCCTATGTGGGCTTAAGTCTTACCCAAGTGGCAGAAGAACGAGACAAAACTTACTTAACACTGAGATCTAATTATCTCCTACATACAGCTATCTATTATCTTACAGTGTATGATAGCATCAGTATTATCTTTAACATTTTTTATTATTGATAGAAAGTGGAGAAAGTTTTAACAAAGGAGTATTTATTTGCTACAGTTAATTAGTGTGATTAGTATTTGAAATGTTTCCAAATAACACTACAGTGGTTGTGTTAACTTCTTTTAAAAAGTTTCAATCATACAAAAATCAAAATGTAAAAGGCATATTTGATTAATAAAAGTCAAATATGTATTTTACATCTTGATTAAAGAAACAAAACTATTAATAGTTATTTAATTAGAATTTAGAATTCCTTGAAGTATATTTTGAAATACTATGTGTTTTATTACTGTAATGAAAATCATTTTTGAAAATTAAAATTAAAAACGCCGACATATGCGGAAAAAATAAAAAAAATAAAACTTTTTTATTTGTATTCTGTTGATCTCATTCATTCTAATCTAATAGTTTGTATATTTCATGCAAAATATTGTCTAACGCAATGCCAACATTGCACGCAATCACCAAAATATCTAGAATCAACAGAAAAATACTTAGGTTCTTCTTTACCAGGGTACTACTAAACGCAAATCATCCAGAGACTTTGATACTGTGGCTCTGTTAAATGAACCAAACATTCTTATCTTAAGATTACTTTTTAAAAGTAGGGCAGCTTAAATAAAATTTCTTAATCAGTGATTTATAGAAACTGTAAAAATCAATAGTTAATGTGCTGCAGTCGAAAAAAAATTACCTGTTTTTATTTCTCAATTAAACATACCAACAGTAATTTATAAATGATCAAACACAAAATAGTGAAACCTATCTCTTGGAAATCTAACATTCAGATGCATTTAATATAAAACTAACCTTTTTCTTCAGCACTATTTACATAATACAGAGGCAATTTTACATCGTCCGCTTTAAAAAGTAACAATACAACAAAACACAAATTTTAATTTAATTCTTTCCATTTCACTCACTCTGAAATGCTAAAAGTGAATTCACTTAATAATGTCCCCAGCACTGTATCCAGTTTATGAGCACACACCCCATGTCCAAGTACGGAATCACAAAAAAATTAAACACACTAGACTAAGACCGCTGGACACATGTGTAATGAAAATATCTGATAGCAAAAAGATATCAGGAGTTTCAATTTGATATAAAAAAAAATTAACTTTGAGATGGTGTGATAAAGAATGGAAGATATGAACCAACAAATCGACAGATTATAGTAGATTACAGTTGTTGAAACTGATAGTAAAATGTGTATTGATTTCTCATTGATCACTTTCATTGTGATAGAAATGTAGATCTATGACAAAATGGTGTGTGATCATTTCTGTTTCTAACAAATCAATTTAGTCAAAAGATGCAGTCAAAAAAGTATTTAATTATTAGGAAATTCAATTTTTTTGTAAAAACAAATATTTGGAATTAAGTTTGAAGAAGTGTGACATTAGAAATTTATTTTATCTAATAAATAATTAGCATTTTCTGGTTTAGAAGTTGACAATACTCAAGAGCATAATTATCAGTGTTTGATTACAAATTTTCAAACAAATCAGGAATGGTTTAGCCCAGAAGTCATGCAGAGTGAAAACAGTAAGTACCATATCAATAGGTCACAAGTTCTACAATGTTTACATGCATTGCTGTTTAATAGTCAAAGTTTAGCTAACAGTGTTACATAACATTTATTTTTTTACAATGACATTAAGTCTGAAGTGGTTAAAATGTTAAATGTAGAAGATGGAGAGAATTAATAATATGACAATTACCTTTAATACAGGTATTTATTAATTTATTTTTGTAAGGTTTTTCTAAATTTAGCTTTAAGAACATTAGTTTACCTGGAAGAAAATTTGGCACCACAATGGTTTTAAAAAGCTTTCTTACAAAAGTAAGCGCAAAAAACATATGCATTACTTTTGATAACAGTTTGATAAATTCTCCCACATGCGCAACACCATACGAGATCTCATATTATTTGTCGTCTAGTTAATTAAAGCTAAAGCTTGTACCTTATTTTTTAAGTATATAAACATTTGCTCCTCTAAGTATAGTGGCATGACCCCCAAACTAAGCAGCAACCCATACTATGAGAAGCATTGCTGTATTTAGTACCAGACGCAGTTCCTAATTGTGTCTTATATAAAACATTTCGCTGCATGATGAGTAGTTTATTATTCGACTATAGTATTCATGCAAACAATACTGACTGCATGCTATACAACAAAAAGTATAGTTAAGAATATGTATGCAAAGCTATTTTTACTGTGGTTTACTAAGAAGCACATGCTTACATCATTTTATAAATAGTTTTGTAAGTGACAAATTATTGACTAATCAACTTTAAAATTATCCAAATATTATAATAAAAAAATTTTTGTGACATCCATTTTTTTTAGTTCATTTAAAAGCTGTCATGCGAAATTATTAGAATTTTACTACTGTAAATAAAAATTTGCATAATAAAAAAAAAGGTGTACCCTCATTTTTAGAAATAATTATCAAGCAGCTGAGTTGACAGAGATACAAAATTAAACAGTTACTATTAAATTTCTCAAGACAAAACAAGTAATTTTAAACAGACAATAGCAACCTCATAAGACAATGTGAATTACCGTTTCTTTGATGTCCCCTATCTATGTGAACAAAAGACAATATGAAGGGATTATGTGTGAATGTGAGTGGTGATAATGTGAAGGGGAGAGTATTCTTAAACAAAACACACACAGAATACACAAATTGTAATTTATCAGTAAATTTATGAGTAAAGTGAGATTTAAAGAAAAATGATAATGGTGACAAATTGAAAAGAAATGAGTGCTTCAAAGAACATGGCCCATTGAAATAATATTTTTTTGTACTTAATACACTATTATTTTTGCAAGTATTGCTACTTTAATCCTAACCAACCATAGCCCTGACCATAACAGCAATACCAGCAGAACATCTCTGGCAATATCTTAAAGCTCTAGGGAAAAAAAATTCTAATGTGTCGCATAAGAACAACAGTATCATAAAAATGTATAAAATATATGTTCTACAGATTTGAAAAAAAATGCAAAGAAAATATGCTGATGCACTCTAAAAATGTGTGGGAAAAAATATAAGAAAAAAATACCAGCAAATGACTAGCAAAATTATTAATGTGAGCTTTCTCAAAAATAAATTGCCTACATATTCAAGAACATACCTTATTAACTACGTTTTTCTGTTCATGAAGAATAACAGAAAAAAAACAGCAATCAAAGGCTAGTTAATACAATATTACTACAATTTGGAGATGTATAAAAACTACTAATAAATTAAGTACGTCACATTCACTAGCAGTGTAAAAATTAGGTGTGCATGAGTAATGACAGATATGCCAGAAAAAAAAAAATAGATTTATAGTAAATAAAACATGGCTGGTCAAAAATATATAAACTGCTCTTACATGTATTGTATGATTAAAGCACTAGCAGTGTTAAGAATTTAGGGTACTCAAATCTGGACCTTTGAGGATGGTGAATAATTTAATAGCACACTGGTTTATATGAATGGGGGAATCCTATTAAAGAATTTTAGCTTTAAAAGATGACAGTAATAGGTGGTGGGATCTTGAGATGGCTCCAGTAACTTTTAATTTAAATTTACAGCCAATGCATAATTGCTACAATTTAGAAATTTGTAGCCATCACATAAATTTATAAATTTAGTTTTATGAAATGCAGGGGACTAGTAGGTGGGATGTTGTGTGACATCTTTAGTAAGATTTAATTCATCGTTTACAGAGAGGAAATTTGTGTAAATGTTTCCTAATTGTACAAATAATAAACATTACCAGCTGTGTGATAGAATTTGGATGTATAGGAATAATGCCAGCCAAATGCCAGCTTGTTTACTTACCTGTGAAAAACACTTCATGCTTCTATTCATGAGGAGTGTCAACCTCTGCTGGGATGTGGTTAAGTCCTTTGAGATTTGCTTGGACTGCCTAGAGTTTCGTTCTTTTCTATTCTGTAGTTCGGCACTTAATGAGTTAAATGTTTCTTGTTCTTTGGCCATTTCTTTTTGTAAACTGGATATAGTTTCCATCAGGTTCTTAGGGGGAAAAGTATAACAGAACAATTGCAAACGACATAAAATTATTGATTTTGAAGTCTAATTATGTTCACATTTTAAAATGTTACATATATTTGTCCATCTATAATTTTGAAAAATAAAATTTTCTAAGAACTCCATTAAAAAATGACTATAGATGTTGTGATTGTGTAAACTTGGATCAAATCATCTTTTAAGAAGAAAATTATTTATTCTTTTTCTACAAGGTTAGTTAATAGTTTTTGTAAGCAGCCCATGTTTTCTTTAAAGATTTCATTACATTTACCACTGAGAACCTGAACTACACTAAAACAACTTTAAATGGAACCCAGATCACCTTCATTGACATTTCTTTGATGGACTTGTCAAAATCTTCCTCATTGGCTTTTAAAAGCTCTGTTATTGTCTCTGAAGCCATCTAGGAATAAAAGAAAGAGGAGATAACCACACTGAAACAAAACTGATAGAAAGAACACATTTTAAATAAAATATATTATTTCTGACTAGCTTTTCTGTTTTTATTTCAGCTAATTTGTTTGTAAAGTACCTTACTTATATTAGTATAATAAAACCCAAACAAAATAATACACTTTTTATTGTTTTGAATTTTAAAAATTGCTAGTAGGATACAAAGGTTTATTATTCAAAACATTTTTTTTTTCACTTAGTTCAATTAAGCATCTATTAGTTACATTATCTACTGGTTTCACAGTGAAACAACTCCTTGATACACACACTTTCTTTTTTCTACTTCAAATATACTAAAACTTTAAAGCTTTGTAGAAAAAAAAATAGCAGACATCTTTTTAAAGATATAAAGATACATTTGAGTTCCACTATTTCTTCTGCTGAATTATATTCAGGTGTCAAGAATTTCATAGCCTTACCTTCAATTAATCTAATTCAAATTTTCAACAGCTTATATGTCCAGTAAATTATTGAAAAGGCTAACTACACACAACCATTTTCAGGCTGGATTAATCAACTGCATTAAGACTTAATTAGTTCAACTGTCTTTTTTAATCTAATTACAAAGTCACAACAAGCTTATTTATTCTGTAAGCTATTGAAAAGAATAGCTACACAAAATCACTGTCAGGTTGCATTGATCATCTGTATCAAGACTTTCATGGTCTCAATGTCTTTTTTAATCTAATGAAATGCTTTCAACAAATGTTCATTTATCCTGTAGTTCATTGAAAAGCCTAACTACACACACCCATCATTAAACACACCTGAGAAAGCAGGTGAGTTTGAGTGAAAACAATCACTTCAAAATGTCACCAGCACAGAATGTCAACCCTCCCTACTTTAAATGAAAAGTTACTAAAGACCCCACCTCTTACATTCCCTGCACCTTTTAAAGACTCAAATTCTTCAACAGAGGACCCCCCCCCCACACACACACACACAACACCACCATCTTCCCCATTCAAAGAAACCACTGTGTTAGTTAATTACTGCAGCATCTTCAGCTATGCCCAAGCCAACTGTGCTACACAAAAAAAAAGGGGGGGGGGGGAGAAAGGGGGGGGGGGTCCCCCCTGCCTGTTATGTCACAAACATGTTGCAGGTGATTCTCAAATGTTTGCTCAACAGGCAGCCCCAGTTACCTGGGCCCTTGTTACACATTTCCAGTTTTGGATTAGAAGGTTTTTACAATGTAACATTATCTTGTCTATTGGCTGGACCAAGTCACACTTTCAAGCCTTAGCAGTAAAAAAAAAAAAGGTTGGCTAACCAGCTAAATAATTATTTGACTAGTAACTTTAAAAAATTTGGACAGTTTTTTATAGACATTTTGCCCTATTCTAAAAATCAGGTTATCAGTCTACTGTAAATGGAATGCAGAAAATATTACAATGTATTACTAAGTATAATTCATTGAATTTGCAGCCCTTTACTCCTCAGGATTGAGTAAGTCATTTATTGAATTAAGACAAATAGATAATCTATATTAAATAATTGTGTAAAAAATTATAATCACAATATTTAATATAATTCTTCTAAAATTCACTTCACTGATACTCATTAGTTGAGTGCAAATTTTGAAATTGTCACAAAAAGGTACAGAAAATACTTAGTTCTATTCTCAAGAGCAGCTAAGAGTTAAAAACGGTTACACTCTGTTACAATTAAATGGGGTTAAAATTAAATATAAATGTGGACAGATGTGTAATCTTTATAATCTTTAAGATCTTATTAAGTAGAAAATTAAACATACAGCAATATAATAGGCCTACTAAGTCAATAATCAAATGATGATGTCAAGGTATACAAGCTAAAAATAGTCATTATCTACTGATAACAAGCTTGATTTTTTTTTTAAATTAGCTGAAAACAGAACAGAATTTTTGGTGTCATGCTTTTTAACATTATTTGTTTTGTTTAAAAATCCACAGCTAATGTAACCATAAAATAGTGCAAAAATTTTAATACAAATTTATATTTGTAAAAAATATTGTATTTAACTAGAGAATTGGTACACTATATAAACTCCTTGTTAGTAATTTAACAACTAAATACACAAATTTGAGCTAATAATTTTTTTTTTAAATTACTTTTGCCAAGAAACAAACAATTATGAGTTTATGGGGGAAAAAAACTTTAGATAAATTAATTGCTTAGTTTAGAGTAAAGGCCTTCTTTTTTAAAAGGCAATCTATGAATGATGATACATTCTTTCTTTTTCTTCTTTGTTCTTAAATCTAGTGTTGAAAGGAATTCCCTCCAACACAATAAAGTATTGAGTGTCAACTTGTTAATAGCGATTCAGACAGTTGACTATGATTTTAGCCTGCTTTTCTTTCTAGATTAGCTTCCATAGCCTTTGTCCAACCAAGAACAAACTACAAAGCAGCAGTTGTTTGATTTTGGAGTTGTCTCTTATAGAAGAGTTGCTGTCTTCAGCTATCAAGCCAGAGAGTTCGAACTCTGGACTTTTCGGTTCAGCAACCATAAGCTTAACCTATCCGACCTCATCAACCTAAATTCATTCAAAAAGGAGGTTATGCTGTAAGACAAATAGTCATAAACTAATCTTACTGCATGTTTCTTTAAAACACCAAGCTGGCTATTACATTACCTACCCTAGACTAAACCACCAAGTTAAGTTGTTGCATTTTAAATACAAATCTGACAAATAAAGTCAATCAATTACAAATGGACAAATGTAGTATTGGAATATTAGAGTTTATAAGGCTCTAGTCCATTTTATAAGCTTTTTACTTAGGTAACCACAAAAAAATAAACTTCGACTTACTTTTAATCCAGCCCTTTTGTTCAAACTTTTTAGATCAATTTGTATCCAATGACAACTGAAAATTGTCAGTGTTAGATGTTATTGTATTACATTTTTTAAAAGGGGAAGTAACAAGATAAATTATTTTTTTAAAATAACAATACTTGATAGGCAAAAAAAAAAAAGAAAACATTGCAAAACACGCTTTGGACTGGAATCCCCAGGGAAAAAGGAGGGTGGGCCGGCCAAGGAAGACATGGAGAAGAACGGTTGAAAAAGAGGCAAAAACAGCTGGGCTCACATGGGCACAGATAAAGGGAGCAGCCCAAAACCCGTCCGCTGAAGATGTGTGGTTGCAGCCCTTTGCTCCCCAGGGGCCACAAAGGAATGATGATGATGATAGGCAAGTGAGTTGTATTCACTGATTTCACATAACTGAGAACTGACCACGGACTCTGCTTGCGGGCAGATAAATTTCATTTGCTAACATTAAGAGCTTCTAATCATGTTTTAAAGAAATTTTTTTAATAATCCTTAACTTTCCAAAATTTAATGCACTAAAAATTAAAGAATAGACCCTAGACTAGTCTAGAGACTATCTAGACCTGCCTTAAGGCCATACATATTAATAATAAAATAGTAATAAATAATTAATAAGCCACTCTCTCTCACGCTAACTTTTTGTAACTAAGCCTCTGGCTCCACCCGCTACCCTAAGCGTTGTCAAGTGACACGTCTTTAGACAAGTCATACCTGGACCACTAATGAATGATGGTTGCTTATGTACTTAACTACTTATGTACTTAGATTTAAACTTTAAATATGTATTATTGTAGGCCCTAGCCTATAAGTAAATTTACTAAATTAGTAAAAGCCTTAAGAAGACTTAAGAATTAGAATCTACTTAAGATGAGATTAAGTTCAACTTAATCATTAAAATTAATCTAGAAAAATCTATAGTGACTATAGGGCACTATAGGCCTATCTATAAATTATCTAATTTAATTCTAATCATAATCAGTTGATGTCAGTTGATGATGATCTAGAAGATCTAATCTAGGAACTTGTACTTTTAGTAGGCCCTGAGTAGAAATCTAGTAGATCTAGATCTAGATCTAGAATCTAGTACTCAACTGTAGTATTAAAATATTAAAATTTGACTTGGATCTAGATCTAGATAAGTAATAAGTAAGTACTAGATCTAAGTAGTCTAGATATATCTAGATCTAGATTCTAGATATAAAATAAAATTGGATTCTAAAATTTAAAATAGGTAGGCCTAGAGAAATCTAGACTCTATCTATAGTCTATAGGCTAAAAATAATTTTTAAAAATACTTAAATTTAGGCCTAGACGGCCCTAGACCCGGGCTAGTAGAGGCATTGTATTTATTAACTTTAATTATTTATTAATTAACTAGGCCTAGTTATTAAGTTATTTATAATATTTTTTAGGCAGAATATAAACAAGAATTTAGATCTTGACCTCTGTGGTCAAATCTTATCAATGAAATATCATCAGGCGGAAAAATAAATAAGCTGGCCTACTGTTTTTGTTTCGTTTTTCTTTTCTTTATTTTTTTGGGTTGTTATTGTTTAATGCAGGTGCCCTCTTTCTAAACTTCTTTAGACCAAGTAGATCTATCTATTTTTAATTTTCGATATCCAGGTACGTTTTATTTAGAAAGCCAAATTAATTAGAATTTTTTTTTTTACAAACTCTTGAGAGTTAGTTAATAAAGATAGGGTGATACTAAGAGACATAATGCATTTCTGTTATATAGATTGTACAGTTGTTTTAACTTGGATAAATATTATATGTATATATATATATATGTATATATATATATAATATATATATATATATATATATATATATATATATATATATACATAGGGGCCTATAAATATATATATATATATATATATATATATATATATATATATATATATATATATATATATATATATATATATATTATATATATATATATATATATATATATATATATATATATATATATATATATATATATATATATATATATATATTCTTCATTAAATTTTAATTACTGTTTTAATCTCCTGCTATGATGTGTTTTATACTTGTGACTTTAAATCTATGGAAATTACGTGACTATTGTTCAGAAGCGTGCGACCCTTCCCGGCGCCCGGGGACAAAATTTCAATTTGGTGCCCCCCTCGGGAGCAAATTTTCAATTTGCACCCCCCCCCCCCCACCCCACCCCTCAAACTTTCGATTTGCACCTCCTCCCCTCAAACTTTCAATTTCCACCCCCCCCCCCCAAACTATTTATAATTTTTTTTTCCAACCCATTTTGGCGCCCTCTAAGGTGGGCGCCCGCCGGGACATATGTATCCCCACCCCACTACGCCTTTGCTATTGTTTCCAGCCAAGTAACAGGACTTTTTTTTTAGAAAAATGCTGTGTAAAACCGTCAGTAGATCTAAAATCCAGCTAAAATCTAATACAAATTTAGTCCCGCCCATCCATCCATAAAACATAATTTATCCCCCCAAAGTCACATTACCGAATGTGGTTGTTTTCAAAAGGTTGTGATATAAGAAAATAGAAGGTAGGATTTAGAAATGAAAAATGTGAACAAACTATAGAATAGATCTAGATCTAGGCCTAGATTTAGTTTCTAGTATGCCAGCAAATATTTTTTATTGATATCTGGGTCATGTTAATACGATGTTTACAGTGGCTACAGTATGGATCATTACGTCACTTCCGCAATCGCCATATCTTTTCTCGACCTTTGTGGTGTTTGTCTGCAGACATGGATAATCAGGAAGAATATTTAGATGCCCTTACTGGTAATTGTTTTAACTTTTGTAAATATTTTACTGAAACTCAGTAGTAGATCTAAGCTACATACTATCATTAATGTTAATTGTTTATAGGCCTATATTATTTAATCATTTTAAATTTCAGCATACTCAAGGAATCCGACGCCGGAAATCCCTCAAATTCTCGAGCAATATTTGAATGGAGTGGCGAAAAATGGCGAAACACTGTCAGTAAAATATTTAAGAATTTACAATATGCCTAGATCTAGATTATATAAGTAGCAATATCTAAAAAATAGATGCTAATTTAATTTATAATTTTTTTTTGCAAGGTAGGCCTAGAATCTAGATTCTAGCTTTTAGCTGGGTCTAGGCCTAATTAAATTATTTTTGATTTTGGTGTATAAAATCGCCTGCAGCTAGTTATGTATTATGTACTAGTACTATGTACGAAAAAGTTACCTCATTGTCAAGGCTTTAATAGAAGTATATTGTGATATATTTGTGTCAAATATTATAGATAAATGAATAATAAACCTAAATTCCTAAATCAATGGCTAGCCTAAATAATACTAAATAAATAGATACCTATATCAATACAGGCAAGAAATTAACTTTAAACAGCAGTGGTTGCGAGCAGGATTTGCTATATAAAAAAGTGGCCATCTGTAAGTTAGAGTGGCTTCCCCTGAATCTTGCGCTATAAGTTTACAATAAAAAAAAAACAAGATGGCTGCTATAGTAAATGAGCATGGTTGCATCTGTTGGAAACATCGCTAGTTTTCGTTTATTACTGAAAAGTTTTAATTCAGTTGTTTAAAAACAGGTAGGGGGCCTACATAAATGAATCAAGGAAACATTTTTGTATTTTTGAAAACATAAATCCTCCTCAAAATGTGAAATAATTATTAAAATTTAAGGAGTCCCCTGTTTTTCATATTACTAGTCGCGGGCGATTTTACATACCTAAAACAATAGATTACCCTAATTTTTTATAGGCCTAGGTCTAATTATACTAATTAATTTATTAGTTTAATTACTATAATTAGGCCTAGTTAGTTGTAGAATGTAGTACAAACACTGCAAGCATTATTTTGGACCTGGGCCCATCTCTAGTCAAATTTGTGGCATTAGCCTAACCTAAGTCTGATGAGCTAGTCTTACTTAGGCTAACTATAATAAATAATAATTGGACCAGCAGCATAAATCTAGATCCAGCCTAGTAAGAGATTAGAAAGTAGTTTAGTTGGGCCTACCACCCTTTTGACCAATCCATTGAAAAATAAGCAGGTGCAGTAGATTTTAGTGTGGTCAGAACTATGTCCAGCTGCCTTTCCTATCCCACTGGGTGAACTCTGGGATCAGAATTTCCAAGTTAGAAGTTATGCGTGGGCTCTACTGTTTAAAATCAACTGTGTATGACCATGTTGTCCTTTTAATAATACAGAAGTAAATTTAAAAAAAAAGGGCTAGCCTACATGACCCATTTTTTTTAAAAATTAGGTAGGCCCCTATGTATTCCTCCCACGAATTTACACTACAACATTTTTCATTAATTTCATGTATTGTTTACTGGGATATTACTACTTTATAACACACCCCCATTTATTGGAAACTACAGGCCTAATACCTGAGTACCTTACTTTAATTATCTGAAAGTGGTTGGGACAAAAATCACCAATGCTATTTAATTGCTTGGGGGTCATCCATAAATGATGTCACGCTTTTTTGATGATTTTTACCTCCCCCTCCCCTCCGTCACACATTGTCACAAAAAGCCAGACCCCCCTAAAATGACACACCTCAGCCTACAACCCCCCTCAAAATTGCAGTTGAATTTTTCATAAAACATATTTTTCCAAAATCTTGTCTGAACCCTGTCAAAATGGTCTTTTAATCAATTCCTATTGTAATTTATGAAAACAGTTTTCTAAACCGCGAAATAACGGTAAAAATTATGTTTTCTAACATTGCTTTAATATAATGCAAAAGTGTGACGTCACACCATCTGAACTCCCCCCTCCCCCTCATCACACACCATATCAAAATTACAGACCCCCCTACGAGTGTGACGTCATTTATGGACGACCCCTTGTTGTATTACAGATTTTAAAAAAACAGTTCTGGTAAAGGTATCCTCCCACTTTGTCCTATTTTTCAAATAAGACATAGGTTGGTAGGTTTAGACAAGTGTTTTAATTCTAGCTTTTTGTTTCCTTTGTTTAGCTTTCAGTGGCCGTTGTTAAAACCATTAATTGTTGGTAAAATGGAAAAAGTTATAGGTGAATTGAAAAAAGGATTAAGCTCTGAAAATATTCCCACAAGACCCAATGTAGAGAATGTGCGTTTTGAAGTCATGCATTCTCGCATCATGGATGCATTGCAAAAGTTTAATGGGTAAGCATCAAAGCAATCTATTATAATAAAAAAAAACTTTTTGTTTCAATGGTTACAAAGTTTGATTTAGCTGTTTAGTTTAAAAATAAAAATTCATAGAATAAGTAACATATTAGTTTTTTATTTTAAAAATACTATATTAATTTAAAGCACTATTAAAATAGGTTTTCATAATCAAAATGTTTTTGTATTATGTTACAGAGCTCCTTTTACAATACAAAGGCTGTGTGAGCTACTCATTGCCCCTAAGCAACATTATAAACGTAGTGACAAATTCTTAAGAGGACTAGAAAAGGTAGCATCATTTTCATAAAAAGTCTTTAAATGCTATAACATTAATAAATTAAATTCCCTAGTATAACAACTTTGAAAGCATTCATTCTTAATTTTCTAATAGTTAAATAATTTTGTACTAATTTGTTATAACTCTAAAACTCTAATCTGTAAATCCTTATTATCTGTATGAGGCTTTTCTTTATTTTTGCTCTGACTAGGTAATTATTAAATATTGTAATTTTATGAATGCTAATAGTATTTTAAAATTTTGCAGAATGTTTTGGTTGTGAGCACTGTAGATCCATTTGGAAGGTAAATTTTCACTAAAATAGCTTTTAGTCAAGTTTTGAACAATACTTTCATTCTCTTTTTTTCTGGCTATGTTAAAAAAAATTCTGAATTTATTTGTTTATTATTTTGCAGGAAAGTTGTTTCAGAAACCTCTAACAAGCATCTAGTCAATGGGATGGACACCAATGGGTCTCCTTTCTTTCCCAGAGACTCCAATATTACTTCTAACCTTCCACCAGTGCCTGGGTGGATAACTTCTTCTGTGACAACAAGACCAACCACAAATAATACACCTGAAGATACAACAGAAGAAGAAAAAACTCAGGTAGTTTCCTGCTTAATTTATTTCTTTAAATAAGCAATAATTTCCTGGTGTTACATTTTGTCTTCTCTAGATTATAGATATTTTTAGTAGTATCCCTCAGATGTTACTTTTAAAGTCCTTTAACTCTTTTTTTAAAGTGCTGCAATTTTCCTTTCCGAATTTTATTGTGACTAGTGGATTTTAAAGAGACAGCTGTTACTGAACATCATAGTCTAAGGCTTGATGATTTCTTTTGGGTTTAACATTCCATTTATTTCAACCAATTTAAATGAATGGCGTCTCATTGGCATGAATGTACATAACTGAAAGCTAATCTTACAAGGTGTCCCTGTCATCTAGATTGATTGGGTTTGTATTGTTCTCAGACTGCTCCTCAAGATACACATGCAACTAATGGTGTAGCTGGTGGTATAGTCAGCTCATTATATGGGGATAATGGAGAACAACCAATGGCTATACATGCTGAAGAGGTTGTTGAAGAGACAGTGGTAAGACCTCTCTCTTGCATGTGACTTTGCTTTCTTGGATATCAGCCCTGTTGTGGATTAAGGAGGCAGAGCTGTCAACTTAAAGTTGATAGGTTTCAAAGCAACGAGATTGTATTTATTTTAGGTTGCTTTTTTTATCAAGTGTAGTGGCTTGAAGTTATCTTTCTGGATATTTTGTCTCAATATTTCTATGCAGTCGTGTAATAATTTATTTGGGTTTATTTCCCTTCTCGCTGTACAAAAAATGTTGCACTAACTGTTGTCATTTTTCCAGAAGTCAGTTCAATATTTGTATTGCTGAGTTGATGGCTTCACTTCATTGTACTATAACTTATCCTCCTTGCATTATTAACACAAAAAAATGTTCCAGGTCACCATGGATACAACGGAAGGAGGACCTGTCGCAACTGATGGTGGAGAGGCTATGGCAGATGATGACGGTGATGACACTAATACTTCTTCTTCCTCATCATCCTCTGAAGAATTAATACCTTCTGATGGAAGTAAGTGGCATTGGTTTATAGTAGTGATTTTAAATTATTAGTCTTATGGTTCTATTTTTCTAGGTTGCACTGGAATTCCAGATTCACTAACTTAGACTTAAAATGTTGGTAGTTGAATTTCAGGATGCACTTTAGCTTGAGTGGCACCCATTATTCATGGACATCTAACTGTTACATTAGTAACTAAATGTATTCTTTTTTTTCCAAAGTTTTGTTTACACTTATTGAAATAATGGAGATGTTATTGTTTTTATTTATTGGTTTTGATCATTAAATTATGATATATCTTAGTTTAAAGCATAGTAAGAAACTCACTGTGAGGGTTTTTACTATAATTGCATTCTTGTATGATTTTGTTTTCCATTTAGGACCAATATGCCATTATATATTTTCAGATGAAAGTGCTGGTGTTTCAAGTGATGATAGTCGACCCTGGGCATCAATAACAAAGGATTTGGAGGATAAGAAAGAAAATCCTGAAATTGTACCTACCATTAATGACTCGCCCGCAACATCAGCCACTCAACCCACTGACACATCAGATTCCTCTAAAGAAACAAAACAAAATTTACCTGAATCTGAGAACAGTGAACACCTGTCAGATTCCTCTCAGTCATCTTTGAATCATAGTTTTGGGTTTTTAGCTGCTGCTGAAAATCCACCATCTTCATCGACTGATTCAAAGCTAGACATAGAATCTGATGGTGCCGATTCATCCCATACAGACAGTGCTATTGACACAACACCTTCAGAGTCTGAGAAAGTTCGCACTTATGCTGAAGTTGTATCAACTTCCAATTCTAGTCATTCACCACCAGGTGCCAGCACAGAAGAATGTGACAGTGTAGCTGGTCTGGAGAGGCTAGTGGAGTCGGTGGAGCCAGAATCATCCACCCAGCATCAACCATCCCCTTCCTTAACCCCTTCAACCCACCAGAGCAGCGAAGCTGATCATTCTGATACCTCAGATTCTGATGAGCCTCGTGCTAAGCGTATGAAACTGTCGCATGAATCTGTGACCTCACATGAACCTGACACTACAGATGTCCTACAATCTGATATGGCATCTTCACCTGTTCATCCCTCTAGCAAACCATCATCATCCCCGTCACCTTCATCTGAAATGAATTCAGTTGTGACACCTGAAAGCTCAGAGGTTATTGAAGAAGAAACAAGGGTTACATCTGGGTCTGATTCAAATTCATCCATAGTACATAACTCTGACACGGTGATGGAAACTGTTTCTAGTGGTAGTGAAGAAACAGAATCTCTCACACCAGCCATGGCTACACCTGAGATTCCAGGTAGTGATAACGTGAGCAATGATGATGAAAATGTTACATCCCCACCTTCTCATTTATCTTCATCAAGTGACAGTCAGGGGTTTGATGTATGTGGAGACAGCCTCAGCAAGTACAATGCTGACAGTAAACAGACAGCAGCTGAGTGTGCTGACAAAAAAGATGAGGAATCTGGTACTGATAGTCCCAAACAGGAATCAATGGATCAGGACTGACTTTTTTCCAATGGCCCAAAACAATAACTTAACAGTTGAGTCATGTCACTGAATCTTAAGCTTGTCAGACCTGCATGTCAAGTATATTACTTGACTCTATTCAGAGATGCATTTAAAATCAGGAAGCTTAATAATAATAGCTGAGGTGTGCTCTGAGACCTACCCTACACATTTTGCAAAAATTAATTCAGCTGTTTAATGCACTGCCAGAGTAATTAAACTGACTTTTCTTAAAACAGGACAACCATTGCAAAACAGGCGTAAGGTTATTGATTGGTAAAAATTTTTGTTCCATAGTTTTAAACTTTTTATCTGGTTTCAGTCTTGTAGTTGCCATCGGTTTATTTTTACTGTATTTAGTTTGACCATCAAATTTGTTGTTGTAGATTCAAAATTATGGGCATTTTGATTAAATATCGATAGATTAATTTTGTCTGTTACTAGTTTTTTCAGCATGTTTGATTTGTTTAAAATTATGTAGTGAAGTGTTGTTGTGACCTCAAAAGAGATGATTAAGAAAGTTCATTTACACTAATGCTAGAAGACTTGGCAGTAGTAAGCCTCTGAATAGTAAAGATATGTTTTCATAACTTATTTTGACCCATGATTATTGTAAAAATTCAACACTTCTTCAAAATTTAAAACAATTTATTAACTCATCGCATTTAGTCATGCTATACAAAACAAACAAAAAAAGAGTTAGCCTTTGAAAGAATAAAAGCCTTGTTCGATTTGAGATCTGAACCTAAATCGACAGTGCTAATTCACATTTAAAATCATAATATAATTTACACAAAATCGTTACATATATTTAAAATTTTGCATTCATGTTACAATATTTGATACAAATCAATATAATCCAAATGATTTAAAACTGCACTTTCCCCAAATTGAATTGTCATCTCTTGTAGTGTTAAATAATCCAGCTATAACTTTCATTATTTATATATATTAAAAACCGTTAAGTTTGTAAACAAAGGCCCAATGTAGAGACCACAACAATTACTTTGAATGTATGGCAAACCAAACAACATTAATCATAATGACTAGAAGAGCAGAAAGAGCAAAACTAGCCAGATAGCTGGAAGATTTGAAGTGCTAAGTCCCACTTTTGCTTTGCATCCAAACAAGGCTTCGTATGACGATTGTTGGATTCCTTGATGAAAAGAAAGGTTTTTCATAAATTTAATGAATTTGAGACTCAGTCCATTGAGCTGATTCATTTGTCTGCATTCATGTCATTATGTTTTGAACATCTTGGTTAGTATGTTCATCTGAACCTAGGCTTTGCCTTGGTTTTCCGTGAACTAGTTTTAAGTTCAGGCCACATGTTCTTTAGTTCAGAAATATTTAGGTTGCCATCTGGTAAATCTTGGCCTGACGGCCTTTTTGGTCCATGTCGCCTTGCATATAGAATGGTATACAAACAATACGTTACTCACAATGAAACCGCACCCAGAATAATGAAAACGCGATCACAACTTAGTCTAGATAAGACATCCCGGCCAGTGAGCGCATTGGCCGGCCAAGATACGAAATTTGCTGTTAACAGGGTTTCCGCGGCCTCCTGAAATTTCTCAAAAAAACGCATGTAAATTTATAAAGTACTAATAATATCCCGCACTATTACGCACATTTTATTAGGCGTTCACTTGGTGTGCAATTTTTTTTTCGAGATTCTATTCTATTATAAAAAGTTTAAGTAATTAAAAATGGATTACAAATATTGTCTATGTCCTGAGTTGCCATCCCTCGTAGTTTTATATTACAATATTCGAGAAAGTTTAGGGGAGATCCAGTAGCGTACGCAGGGGGGGGGGGGGGGGGGGGAGCAGTCGCTCCCCCTCTGGCCATTTTCAGCAAAGTGGCGCCTTTTTGGAAACTTTTTAAACTCAAAGTTTCAAACTGATATTTGTGAAAAAAATATTTTTGGTCGGCACATCTATGTTAATCACAAGATTTCTTTTCATGCAGCAATTAAGCATTATTGTACTAGACAGTGGCGTAGCCAGGATCGTCTCAAGGGGGGGGGGGGTCCAATTTTTACCCGGGGACAAACTTTCGATTTGCACCCCCCCCCCCTCAAACTTTCGATTCGCACCCCCCCCCCTCAAACTTTTGATTTGCACCCCCCTCAAACTTTCGATTTGCACCCCCCTCAAACTTTTGATTTGCACCCCCCCCCCCCTCAAACTTTCGATTTGCACCCCCCTCAAACTTTTGATTTGCACCCCCCCCCCCCTTCAAACTTTCGATTTGCACCCCCCTCATACTTTTTATATATACCGAGGGGTCTATGGGGGGGGGATTATGACCCCCCCCCCCCCCCTGCGTACGCCACTGGTACTAGCCTAGTAGTGTCTACGTTTACAACACGTATTAACAGCTGAATCAGTTTGCCATTCTTAAAATAACCATTACGATGCATTGCAATGTTTAAAAATTGCAAATGTTTATGAAACAGTTACAACCCCCCTCTCCCATGGACCCCTCTGTAAAAAAAATATTGTCATAATACTACTGCTACTTATTTAAATCTATTTCTGTAATATATTTTTGTGTAATATATATGTGTGTAATATATATGTCAGGGGCGTAGCGAGGGGGGGGGGTGGTGCGGACCGCATCGGGTGACACCATTTAGGGGGGTGACACTAGGCAAAAAATAGCAAAATATATAGAGAAAAACTTGAGGGGGGGGTGCAAATCGAAAACTTGAAAGTTTGCCCCCGGGAAGGGTCGCTTCTCCTCTGGGAGGTGACACCATTAAGTGCCGCACCGAGTGACACCCGACCTCGCTACGCCACTGATATATGTATGTTTAGAACAGTCATCTATAATTATCATTAAAAAAGTTTTAAAAAACCCACGTTTTCTGATTGAACTAAAAAGTAGAAAATAAATGCTATACATCACAATAATGCAAGCGATCACTCTACTATAAGCGATGAAAAACGTGGGGCGCCGAAGTAAAAGTTTTTTATCGGTCATTGTTAATATAAGATGTAAAAGTTATATTACTATTGATTAGATAATACTATTGACTTTTATTAGGGAGCTTGTAGAGAGTCAACAGTATTAGAAACTGTAAGAAAATCACGGCGCCCCACGTTTTTCATCGCTAGTAAAAGTGTATGTTTACTATATAAAATCCATCTTGTTCGGGGGGTGGTGTTAGTTCAATCAGAAAACGTGGTTTTTTTTTAAACTTTTTTAATGATAATTATTTTCTACTTTTTAGTCTTTGTCTGTTTGCATTAAAATATTGCTATCGATTTTATCTTTTCGCATTCATTTTTTTTGGGTAAACGAAGACAACTCGTAAAAAACACGTGCCTTGAACCCGTGTCGAGTCGGTTAGCAATCGTGTGCCCAACCACTCGACCATATCGTCTCCCCCATACTGGCCACCAGTTGTTACGTTCTGGTTGTTTGTACACAAACACCGCGTGACAACTACTCAGTAAGCAAAAAGAGGAGAGTACCGAACCTTGTTTTCATCAAATTACAATTACTGGGTTATTTCCCTTTTCCCCCACGTTTTTTGTACAATTATATAGCGGTCTAAAATGATCACTAAAATGTTTCCATGGATCAATTTAGTAATAATAACAATTGAATATTCTATTGTCATCGGAAACAAAGCTTCCCTGAAAATTTCAGCGCGCTAGCTAACTGGGAAGTGCCCGAAATTTCGATCGCAAGATTTGATTGGAAAGACGCGAAAGCAAGTTAAAGAAAACGGGAAAAAACTGACGCTATGTTCACTCTGAGTTGGTTATCTCCCCCCCCCCCCCCCCCACACACCTCACCACCACAATTGTGTAGAGCGACATTAATGTCACACCTAGGTATACACTGGGTTGGATAATTGACCTAAAGTAGACGGACAGTGGTGAATAAAGTTGACCCCCCCCCCTACCCATCCCGAACTGATCTGTTAAGTAAATGTAGAAAAACGCGTAATGATGTACCAAAGTACCATGCCGCCAGAAAATTAGTTTTTTAAACGTAAAACAGTGTGAATATTGTTTTTGCAATTACCAGTAAAAGGTGTGTGATCAATACAGTGATCTAACCCATACCTATCACTATGTTACAAAATGATCTTTAAAGAACACAAAGAAGCAGTAGTTAATTAAAAATATATGATCTGAACTAAAAGACCAATATTTAGTTAAATGTAGGCTGTTATTCCGATTGTTTTACTATTATATCGAAAAGCGTGGTTTTATACCAACTCTGATTTTAAAACTTTCATTATGCTGTAATACTTTAGCATTTATGATGACGATATATTAAATTCTGATTATATACAAAAACATTTTGTAAACACGAATAGTGTTAAACAATTTTTTTTTACAAGAATTACAAAACAGAGTGTGTTACGTTCATTGTTTTTAGTTGTAGTCAGGGGCGTAGCGAGGGGGGGGGGCGGGGGTGGGGGGGGGGTGCGGACCGCACCGGGTGACACCATTTAGGGGGGTGACATCAAGGCAAAAAAATAGCAAAATATATAGAGAAAAACTTGAGGGGGGGTGCAAATCGAAAGTTTAAGGGGGGTGCAAATCGAAAACTTGAGGGGGGGGTGGTGCGCATCGAAAATTTGAAAGTTTGTCCCCGTGAAGGGTCGCTACGCCTCGTGGGGGGTGACACCATTAAGTGCCGCACCGGGTGACACCCGACCTCGCAGTCTTATAACCAAGAAGTTCTATGATTTACTAAAATTGCACACCTGTCGAAATGGTGTGCGCGCGATGATAGATCTATATAATGAACAGAGTAACATTTATTTTCAAGTAAAATATGTCCGCAGCTTAAATCACTGTTAATAAGCTATTGCAGTCATTTGGGTCAAGTATCTGCTGATCTTTTTTTTAAACTTAAAGTTAAATAAACTGTGATAATGTATACATTTTAAAAATATATATCAAACAAATTACCCTGTTTAAGCGTACATTTATTCATTAATTCAATTACGGTAATAATAGTAGGCACGAATGCCTTTTTTTCTCTCTCGTATATACGAAGTATGGAGAAAGTATTGTAATCGTGCAAAAAAAAAAAATCGAGATTTTTACAAATCTAGACGTTTTACACCTCACTGATACGGAAAAACATAATTTTGCAATCTTGTCCGTATGTCTGTGTGTGTGTCTGTCTGTCTGTCTGTCCGTGTGTAAACACGATTACTTGAGTACCGTTACAGCTAGGTTGATGAAATTTCATATATAAGTATTTTATCAAAATCGTAGATCCGTATCATTTTTGAGCGATTTCCGATAACCGGAAGTGGTACTTTTCCTACTTTAAAATTTTCAAAAGCCTATAACTTGAGTACTATTTCAGATAGATAAATGAAATTTCACATGTAAGTAAAAGATCTAATTCTCTACCTTCTGTTAAATTTTGAGTAATTTCC